GTAGGGGCCGCTGCGCCCCGCCAGGACAAGGGTTATATATATATATATATGAGTTGCACATACAGTATCATCTATATGGTGCCCTGTATATGTACGATTTGGGGGGTCTTTCTCGTGCAACGCATCACACCGCAGCGCAATGCAACAAATGCGTCTATGCCACCGCAGGGCAAAAACGTCAAGGTCTATAACCTGATTAACACTTCAAATTATTTGAAAATTTTGTGTAAAAATTCCAGCAGGACAAGGGTATAATTTGGGCCCCCATTCCACTTAGTGGCGCTCTCATGGCGCTCTCTCTGCGACCTGAAATTGGCCAGAGCGCCGAGCTCCACGAAGGCTTCTCGCGGCCTTCATTCCGCTTAGTGGCGCTCTGTCCGCGCTCTGGTCTATTCAGGTCGCAGAGACCGTGAGAGCGCCACTAAGTGGAATGAAGCCCGCGAGAAGCCTTCGTGGTCATACAGATCACTTGATCATTGAGCTAGAGAGTTATATAAAGGGCGACAATTTTTTTATACAGCTGGGTCTTTTTTTCTGTGGCTACTTTTGGTTTTTGTATTGGTTTTTATAATAATTAATTTTAAATAAATAATTAATAAATGTCTTTCATTACGGTAATATACGCGTAAAGGACACCTAGCCTGTACATGTAGTATGATTGTGACAGTAACATGTGATCAACGTAAACATACATACATCGTATGTCATAAATTACTCATATACATACTATAGTACCACGTGATAGAAACGTTACTTGACGAAACTCAAAAGACAATCCTTTTTAACTCCTGTATCAAAGGCACTTTATAGATCCAACAGTCGGCAGTACCTAAAGGATTCTAATGCAAATTGCGTGTTTCTTCTATGTAAACAATCGTAAATTACATATGGTTTTATAAACATTGATTTCATTATCTGCCTGTCAGACATATTGAATTTTCTTGGCTAGGCCCTGTCCTGGTCTAGCTGTGTTACTTCGTTCTCTTCGCTCTTGAGTTATTTTGCTTGTCTAACGATGAGCAGAAAGAAACTTTGAGGAAAGCCACGACAGGCTGTTTACAATAGATATATTGGTTTTCTCTTACATCTTATGTGATTCTCAAAGCAAGACGGCAATACAGGTAGGCGTACGCGTTTTGTTTACACTGGAGGAGGGGGGGGCAAGACAAGTGCGTGTATGTACATGTGAACATTAGTAATCGCTATGTGACTGCATGGACGTTCACTTTGGATTTAAAATTTAGTGAAGTCTTCTAATTCATGTTGTTCAATTGACACAAGCGGCGGTCTCGTGTTTGTAACATACGAATTAGTGCCCACCCACTATATCTAGGGACACTAAAAAAGCTATCAGTACAAGTCATCGAAGGTACAAGTATTGGAAAAAAACGAATTCAGCTGGGGAAAATGAACCATCTTGTAAATGCCCTCATAATGAGACAGTTTTATAAAACTGTTAACACAATTTTCCCAAGCCCCGAGCCTAAACAAAACCTAGAAAAATAAATTTCTAATAACATCTCAAACCCACCATCTCGACCCTCGTGGGGTCGTGTGGCGCAGCGGCAGCGTTCTCGACTCGGAACCAGAGGCCCCGGGTTCGAGTCCTGACATGCCATCGATCTTGTGCCCTTAGGAAAGGCACTTTACACGATTTTCACGAGTTTCGGAATAAAAAAAAAACACTTATCTTCAAAGCGTGAGACTATACATGCAAAGCAGATGCCACCCCTGGTAGAGACACCAGATAAATCTATAGACTACACATTTTTGCCTCCTTACATTCTGACTTTCCAAATTTTCCTTGCAAATCTAAACGGTTGCTGGGATTTCGCCGCCTTTGCATGTGTGTTACATGCAGCTTGCTTTTAATCTTTATTCATGACTTAGGCAAAAAATGCTGCAACAGTTGTTTTTGTTCAACAAAACACAGAAATGGAAACCAATGCTGTTTCCACCGAGAGAGGAGGCATCAACTCGCCTCAACAGGCTGTTTCTTCAGAGAAAGTTGATGAAGCAACAGCCGATATAAAAGCGATCAGTAGTTTTTCCGTTACTCGCGGGTTTACCAACGCGATGTACGCGGGTGGCTCGTCCCAAGAGGCTGAACACGGAGGTAATTTTTAATCTAATACTTAGCTTACGTAGTCTAATTTTCGTGTATAAAATTTATAAATAATTTTTCCTGTGTGTACAGTAACCTGCAAGACGGAACAGATTAGCTTGAATTGGGGATGTGGGACTAGGGTATATTCTGCCTACCTGCCTATATGCACAGGCTAGGTACTGGTCCCTTGCTCCCCTCCGTCAGGTTCCTCCAGCCAGCTCTATCAAGGGCAATAGTCTCTGCTTCCCTTAGGTTTAAGTCCAGTGTCACTCTAAATCTGGTCTTCCCCGGGGTGTAGGGTATATTCAGTCAGTGAGTCACCAAAATGTATAATTTTGGTCCCTATTTTACCCTATAAAACGTCAAATGAAATGGAACTTTCTAAGGCTGGCTTAGGGATATTTACAATGGGCATATTCACATTAAGGAATGCACTCCTTGTAAGTGTTTTACTACAATGTGTTTACTACAATAATTTACTACAAGTCTATGGGCACATGTACTTGCCCGAACAGTACTTTTACCTACTGCCTGGGCAAGTGGACTTGTCCAACCCTGCTTAGGCAGAAACCACTTTAATTGTTTTTGGACAGGCAACCATACCAATTTTAAGAGAGAGCAAATTTGAAGCGTTCTTTTTAGACGATGATCTTCTTCATTGATACAAATATGAGTTCTCTTAAATTTAATGCAAAGATTTTTCTACGAAGAGATACGTCCTTCATCTTTAAATGATTAGTCTGGGACAAAAAAAAAATGAAAAGCTGTAATGGTAATTCATTTCATTGCAACTAATGTGTGCCTTAATAATACTAGTACCCGAAATCCTTTGAACCTTTTTCAAAGCGTGCGCCTCTACAGAAGACAACCATCGGGAACATTCCCTGACAAAGTTTTTTCTAATATTCCTTCACCTTTAAATAATTAGTCTGAAAAAAAAAGAAAAGCCCTAATGGCAATAAACCAAATCCTTTGAACTTTTTTCAAAGGAAACTTTAAGAGAGTGTGTGCTTCTACAGAAAATAATCATCGTAGTGATTGTGCAATCTTGCATGGGAGGGAGGTTGATAAGTTACGTAACGAGTGCGGCTTGTGTAAGGCTGGGAGTTTGCAGAAATGTGTGACTCATTCCTTGTTGTCCTCCAAAAAAGATCACTGTTTTATCACTGTTTTATCACTGTAGAATTGTCAACTAATGAAAAAATCGCAAGACAAAGCAAATACATGAGCAGAAACCAACATAATTGCTTTTGTCTGCACATGCAACCATTCCATGTATTCTTTTTAGACGATGCCATTCTTCATTAGTATAAATACGAGTTCCCTGGAATTTAATCCAAAGTTTTTTCTAAGAAGAAATATTCCCTCACCTTTTAATAATTAGTCTGAAAAAAATGAAATGCCCTAATGGTAATAAACTAAATCCTTTGAACGTTTTTTCAAAGGAAACTTTAAGAGAGTGTGTGCTTCTGCAGAAAACAATCATCATAGTGATTGTGCAATATTGCGTGGAAGGGAGGTTGATAAGTTACGTAACGAGTGCGGCGTGTGTAAGGCTGGTAGTTTGCAGAACTGTGTGACTCATTCCTTTTTGTCCTCCTAAAAAGTTAGATAACTGCTTTAAAATGTAGAATTGTCAACCGTACTCGCCTGTAAAAAGTAGAATTCTCAACTCACGACCGGATCCCAAAGTTGGCATGGCATGTTACTTTGGAATAGTCCAGTTATGCATGGTGGTGATGGGAATATCATGATATATATTTCATCGTAAATGTTGAAGTAACGCTGCAATTTTCATAGGGATCGAAGTCAATGAAAAAATCGCAAGACAAAACAAATACAGGAGCAGAAACCAACATAATTCCTTTTGTCTGCACAAGAAACCATGCCATGTATTCTTTTTAGACTATCATTAATATAAACATGAGTTCCCTAAAATTTAATCCAAAGTTTTTTCTAAGAAGAAATATTCCCTCACCTTTAAATAATTAGTCTAAAAATGAAAAGCCCTAATGGTAATAAACAAAATCCTTTGATTTTTTTCAAAGGAAACTTTAAGAGAGCGTGTGCCTCTACAGAAAACAACCATCGTAGTGATTGTGCAATCTTGCGTGGAAGGGAGGGAGGTTGATAAGTTACGATAAGTTAACGGATGGTAGTTTGCAGAACTGCAGATGATCTGTTTTTCTGTCCATGTCATCTTCTTTCGTGTAATATATAATGTGAGAGGTCTTTTTGGCGGTTGAGGAATTTTATAAAGGAATTTGTGTCAAATAACTGCATCAGTTGGATCACTATGTCATAATAACGTTAATGCCCCGCCTTATCCTCGGTGTATATGATGATACAATCCTTGGTCAGGTGAGATATCTAACCACGTCATAAACCACCTCGTTCGCTACGCTCACTTGGTGGTTTATTTGGTGGTTATTGCACCTAACCAGGGATTATCTCACCATATACACCTCGGGGCGGGGCATTAAGCCTTTATTAAGGTACATCATACAATCTCATCTATAACTGCAATGTTCTAATATAAAATCACGAAAGCCAAATTAAGAAGTTTTTTTTAACTACACAAAACAATCGACAATTCCTCCCAAAAATGGAGGAACTGACATCGAATGCATTGATCCAGACGACCCTGACAGCAACGTGTACAACTCAATCGACGAAGATGACATCGAGAACCAACAGCAGCCAGATGCAGACAAAGAAGATGGTGGACAACCAACTGATGAAGAGAAAGGCACCAGACTACCCAGTAGGGTGAAGAAGGACGCCTGTGGCATGCTTAATAACCCAACCTACTCCTCTGGGGCACAAGTTAAAGGTAACGTATGTAACCAGCAAACTATCAATGATAATAAAGAATTATTGTATGTATTGTTTTCTATTACCTAAAGAATAATTAGGTAATAGAAAACAGTTTTCGCCCTATGGGGATTTCTAAAGTTAAGGAGCCCTAAGTGAGAAGGTTAGACTCTGTATTTATTTGTATAGTAGGATAAACAAGCAAGTTTAAAAAAATGTTTGGGTTCCGGGTGCAACCTACAAAATATGTCAAAATCAGCTCAAGTTTTCTTGCACATTTACCACGCTTGGCAGGGGTTATGTGAACTGCAGCCGATGCACAGTACTAGGCGGTACACTATGACATCCCAATTGAATATGGTCTCAAACCTGATGCATTCTTCTACAATTCAGTACTGTTTATACCTCACTGTCCTGTAGGAAAGAACTCTGCAGCATTCTCCGCTTTGCGTCCTAACTACTATTGACTGCGGTGTTCGCCCATAGATACTGTTATGCGACCTTCAATAAGCCTAGATGGTATAACCATGGCCACTTGTATTGGCGTCATGCGGTCACCGCGCTTATAGAACTGGAGGTTAGGTGGTCTTCGACTGATCAGCCCAGTTCTAACGGGGGTAATTCAATCAGGCCGGCTATGTTGTCTATATGCAATCAGAAAATAGCACATAAAAGCTCCCAAAGACCCCGAAGACCCAAACCCTCCAGTTTTTGGCATGCTAAGGTGCACCACATTGGGTTTTGGCATGCTAAGGAGGCTAAGGTGCACCGCATTGGGTATCAAGTTTCTTACTAAGTGTCAGCGAGGTATGTTGTAATGATTGTGATATTTACGATGTTCTCTAAACAGTGCTAACTTTTCATAGATCCATCGGAGAGTTCCTGCTTCCCACCCCTGCTCCGGTCCCATCTACTCTTACTCCGCGGATTCATCATCATTGTAACAGCTACAGTCGGGGTCGCGATTGGCTTTGGTGCCGTACATCTTATTGGCACCATCAGACAAGGGAACGACGGCAAACTTCATTCCGTTAGTATCCTTATTTTGCTTTTTTTATATTCCAACATGTAATTAGAAGACGTGGTGACGGCACACTCAAGTTTTTTCAGCTTATATTAATGCCGTCACCAACACAGGGGACAAGACAATACTCATTTTCACCTGAGCGTAGTGAGGAAGTCGTGTTAAGTGCTTTTCCCAAGGGCACAAGATCGGTGGCATGTCAGGACTCGAACCCGGGATCTCTTGGTTCCGAGTCGAGCACTGTGCCGCTACGCCACACGACCCCACAATTATTTTGCTTCGAGGAAATCTTGAAAAAATTATCAAAACTTACACCCTGAATATACACAAATTTTACGATTTGATAAAAATGATACTCTGGGAATTGTTGCCAATGAGAATTACAACTTGCAAAGACTTACAGCTAATCTATTGTTCTTGGCTTGGCTTCGTTTCCGAAGATCTATTGTCACGGCATAAGGAATTTCCTCTGTTATGTCACTGAACTTCATTGTTTTGTGTAACGAAGGGTCATGGCTACATGTAAAGAACATTTCTATGTCGTGCCTAGCCTTATTGCCCGTGAGTACATACATTACACCTCGATATCTGTGCATGACCCAAAGCGGAAGCTGTGAGCAAAACTATCAAATTACCACCAGGAGTATGAAGATTTTCCTGGATCATTGAAGTTGCATTCTTTTTTAAACTCAGCACTTGACAGGTGAAGCATCTTTATCCAACTCACCTGCATGGACCACCAGTACATCGACAGCAGATCCTCTGGCAAATGCCACGGCTGCACTCCCAGTGGTGACAACTCCTCTGCCAAGTGTGACTTCTACTCTGTCAGGGGGACCACCTGCACTGAGGAAGGTGACAGAGACTACTGATGAACCAACCAGCGTAAGTCATTGACTCTGTAAGAATAGTAATTTCATTGGTTTGTCATTATCACCTAAGCGAAGTCTCTATTGGTTCTTCACAATCTTCAGTACTACTTACAAGGTAAAGTCATTTTTTCAATGTTTTATCGTATTACTGTCCCTGGGTTCACTGAGAGACATACATATCTTGAAAGCAAAGGCAATCTAGTCTTTGGGATTATGACCGTAGTACTGGGTACCTGGGTATTGTGTATCTATTTGTCCGTACTGAGTAGGTTGATAGCACGTTGGTAGGGAAGATTGCATCAATTGACAGGCAGAAGGTCAAACGTCAGGAAAAGGACAAAGGCAAAACTTGAAGGTCTAAAATCTTCTGAAGAGGCAGCCAGAAGTAGTGGTCGAAATTTTTTGTCTTTTGAATCATTGTTTCTAATTTTCCATGGGCCCTTTCTTAACCATCAAAGCCTTTTAATTCCATAAATCAGGATGAACATATGTTTTTTTTAATATTTAGCCACCAATGACCAATATGGAGACATGGATGGAACCCCAAGACACTGATAAGCAAGAGACGCGTGTGATCAAGAAAGGTGAGACATCGTAAAGTCAATCTGCTTGACTGATAGACTGGAACAAACTACCTACAGACATAGCCACATCCACATTCCTACCGAAGTTCAAAATGGGACTGGCCCGGCATATGGGCCTTTCCAAACACCAATTTTAAATTCGACTCCGATATCTTTATTTTGAGCTCACATGTGTTGTTACGCGGAGTGATACATGATCTGTGTCACAGTGTGATGCCAAGGGCCTTACTACAAATCACATGCAAAAATACCTGATGAGTAAAATAGTTCTGAGTATACAACAGTGTGTATACGCCGAAAAGCAGTTACTCAAGCAACTGGATATGATTTTGGAAACGGTCAGAAAGTGTACACTTAAGCTCCTGTTCTCATCCAGTTGCTTGAGTAACTGATTTTCGGCGTATCGTACTACCTGGATGTCTAACCTTCATCGGCGCAACAGTGTGTATCTTTATCTGGAGAAAGTAACAAATAAATGTTTCCGTGGTAAACTGATACAGAGACCAAAGTTGCCTGCTGGAAGAGATTGCTGCGCCTGTCGTGTCCAGTGGGAGAGGCTCTATCAATCGACCACGCCAACTTTGGACGGACGACCACTTCAACCCACTGCCGCTGTACTACGTGCGACACCAACTGTCGCGGAGCCACCAGCCTGAAGGACATGAAGGCCGCCTGTGAGGGTTCTCCGCATTGCTCCGTGAAAGCAGTAACAGAGGTGTTCGGGGACCCCTGCCCCGGAACTCAGAAGTACTTGGAGGCAACATACCACTGTGTTAAAGGTTAGCAGTAAACCGTTCCGTTACATAACCTTTATACGTAGTACCTGTCTATCTTTATATTATAGAAAACTACCCCACACTCAGTCTACTTTGGTGTCTTGTCCTTGGTTGAAACCTGTATATTACGGAGAGTTCTAGTTGGTCTAAAGCAGGTCTTGATCGTATGTGGCAAAAATCCTCCTGAGCTCTTCACTCAGGCCTTTCATGTAGGGCATGACGACTAGACCTCGTGCCCTTGTTATTCTGATTCTGGTTACGGCTTTGCGGCTACTGAGGTTTGGGTCTATTAGCCTTTAATATCTAAAGCCCAAGTGGGGTATCCACACTTACTCAGCGCGTGTGAAATATGAAGTTTCTTGAGGGTCAGTGATAATCGTTTCCGCCCTGTGGAACAAGGTGCGGATAACCCCGAGTTTATGATCTAGGGGGTGGTTTGAATATAAGTTCAGATATTGGTCAGTATGTGTGCGTTTGCGGTATATCTTTATTTTACAATATACACAATTGTTATTTGACAAGGTTTATTCTTGTTCTCAAATACACATTCTACAGGTTTGATCAGTCCTATACATGTACCTTTGTTAATGTGTGTATTGCTACAGTGAGTCCTGTCACAGAGGATCAGCTGCGGACACTAGTGACTAAGTACGCACCTAAAGTATGGCTGGCGAAAGGCGAGAAGTACAACCCTTCCAGCATCGACTTTCATCTTCAGCACGTCAAAGTGTACGATGGTCGCAGTGTATACTCCAGCACGCCCTCTACCCTTCCCACATGTACCGAGGCTTGTTACATGAGCACCGCCCAACCCCTGCCGCATGCCGAAGCCAAGTTGCCTTTCTTCAGGGGAGAGCAGATCGGGCCCACCAGGCAACCCCCCGTGTACGCTGTTGTAAAGAGGGTCAATGCGATCACTACAGACATCTTCTACTGGATGTTCTTCCCGTACAACTTGGGAAAGAAAGTTTGCGTCGGTAGGTTAATGCTGGCAAACTTTTATTCAGCCCCTTCTCCGTCCACACTGTATGGAATATTTATTGGTTACTCTGCAAGTGATAGATCTTCTGGATTGTTTTTTACACGATTATTAATGATACGCTAAGAAAATGATTATCTTTTATTCAATGATTATATACGATTACTGTAATTCCTGATTTTTTTTCAAGTTACTTTTATGTTCACTGTTTTCACTGTCACTTCTGTACAGTGAACTTATCATTACAGTAATAACAAATAATTCCTGGACTTCTTTTTCCTGCACCTGTCACCACCGTGAATATATAGTTCCGTGAACATGTCCGCTTTTCTCAGACTGTGAACTTTTGCTACCGTGAACATAAGGTGAATTACAGTATGCGATTCTACTGATTGTTATTCTTTTTGTTTGGGCGTTATCTTCAACAGGAGTCACTATTTTTGGATGCATCGGCAAGCAGCGGACATTGGCGCATCGTGTGAGTGACTGGGAACACATGACAGTTCGTCTGGTGGGCAAAAATCCAAGCAGCATCTTTGTTGATTCTCCAGAAGCATCTGCAGGTACCCGGAGTTGTCAAGTCCAAGAACATTACGAAAAAGAAGGCTGAGATTTCCGTCCAACACCTAAATAAATTGGGACTTATCCCAAATTTTTGGGTGACTCCTTCAACCCTTTTTTTGCGGAATGGACCAATCCACTCTTGGAAAGTTATCTGGCACGTATGACACGCTACTACTGTCACGTGTCTCTGACGTCACGTTCCAAGGGTAGACTGGTTCATTCCGTGAACAAGGTCGATGGAGTTAACCAAAAATTTGCGGTAAGTCCCAAAAGAGATTAGTCTTTTTTTCATAATGACTTATAATAACAACGATGAACTTTTATGTCCAAGAACATGTTGGCTCAAGCTTATAAAAAGTTAAATCGTCCTTAAGCTAAAAGAAATTACCGGAATTCTAAACTTAATCACTTACTAGTCTTCTTCAGCTATCTGATCCAATAGCTCAGGTGACCGAAATTTGTTTTCAACATGGCGTCATCAAGGGGTTAAAGATTGTTGGATGCCTACATCTTCCCCCGTTTTGGTTAAGAGAAGGTTGAAGCACCCAAATGTAGCTGACCTCCTTCATAATTTGAAAGTGTTGTATCAGATCTAGATATCTTCAAGAATCTTTCAGATAGATTATAAAATAAAAAATCTTTAAGATAGATTATAAAATAAAAAGGGACTAATGTATTTAAAACGTCAATATAATTATGTACGTTAAAAGAAAGTAAGGAGCGATTAAGTGATACGCCATCTTGAATTTTGACAAATGGTGTCATCAAATTAGCATAAGTTATTCATGTTTAATTTTCAAATTAGATGGAAGTACATGAGATTTTATCCATGTTAAAAGCATTTTATTTCATTTGCCAGGTATATACAACTGGGACGGCGCATCACAGACTTACAGGAAGGGTGAAGACGTTGTACTGACTGAGGGGACACATCCCATTTTGTATTCAGCTTACGGTATCCATTTTACTCTTTATTATAATACAATTAGATGCCTATCCTGGTCGTTTAGCCAGGTTACCAATCTCAGCCTACAGGCCGGCCTATCACTCACTCACTCACTCACTAACTCTTCTTCTTAATACATATGCTATTAACCAACCAGTAGTTAACAATCAGTAGCTAGCATCAGTGAAAGAACTCAAGCAAACCAACCAAGTAACTAAGCACGCAAGCAATCAACCAACCTAACTGAATTTCAACGCATTTATCAGAGCATTTACTTATTTTTCTTTTAATCACCGTTTCAGGCCATCACAAGCTGTGGCCCAGCTCTGGCACTCAAACATTCGTGGCTCTGATCAAAAAACTGAAGGACGAGACCAGTGCAGGTACGGCATGGGACACGTGGAAGAACGTGCGCGTCACCATGTACCAGCCAGACGGAGGTTACACCGGGAACTGGACATGGATGAACTTCAAGGGACGCTGGGGTAACAAAGAGGTAAACTGGGGTTGAAGGGAGTGTTGCTTTCCCTACTTTTTAAATCCATTCATGGTAAAATAGACGAAAAGAGGCATTATGTCTCACCTCTCACCTTTTATAATTCAGTCAAAAATATCAACCTCCTGATATGTCCTTACACACTTTCTCAAAATTATAAAAGGGGAGTGAAGAAAACTGTTTATATCAGTCTGGTGGGCTCTAACACCAACAAGCGGTAGCCAGTAGCAAAGATAACGACGCAAATTATGGACATGTAAATATAATAAAAACATTTCCTTAATCCCTATCCTATATATTCACACCTATTTTTTGTGATATCATATTTTTATTACAAAGCTCGCCTCCATTAACTCCTAAACTACTTTTCAGAGGATGGTCATAATGAGATCATAAATAACATAACAGCAAGTTCCGTGTCATTTATGTCATATCGTTTGGCTGTATAGGTATATAATATATATAATTACATACACTGGATGAATGTTAGATAAATGAGTGTGATTTTTTTCCAGGTTGGATGTAAACTCCGGGTGCTCACCGGTCAGTGCACGCTCAACAATGGGATGTTCACTATAACTCGCATGGAGCAAATGAAAACTGACGAGCTGGATTAACAAGGTCAGGAAATTAACATATATTGATTGAATGATACGATAAAATGCAGTACATTTTGCTCATGCAAAGAAAACCTTTGGAAATGCACACAGGTCTAGATCGGTTACTTCTGGTGCTAATACTGGGACTGAGTGTTTTATGTTTTGAATTTTAATCAACATGTCAATGCCAATATCACTCAAGCTGAATTCTAATCATTTGCATTCTGTATTATAATCAGCAACTTATTTTATGATGAAAATATAGTTTATTACTGAAAAAGCTTAAGGTTAACCACATTTCTCTGGTGTTCTGAATTATAGTATCCTATTTACATATAACTACATCAAAGGATGAAAATTATTCTAGACCACTTCAGTTAGTTGTTCATGTTAAGAATAATACAATGTAATTATATGAAATATGTAGGAAAATAAATGTTCAATACATCTCTTAAACTGACCACTTACTATCAGATACAACAGTTTATTTCCTATTTCATCTCATTATCTCAATGGCAGTTACTGTTAATTTTACTAGGATTTAACTTGAATAAGAAATGTAGAGAGTAACACATAAGAAGAATTTGCAACTACTAGTAGCAAATAAAACGTATAATACAACTGTACAAGGGAGGTCAGAAGCTTGAAATCTGATATGTTATCCTTTATCAAATTGACAAGGAAATAATAATTCTAGTACAGATGGAATAAATCAAGTACCAGAAATAAGTATATATGAACTATGAAAAATGATCAGATCAAGTATTATAATGAAACTTAGCAAGCTTAGGATGGAAGGTCAAACATCACTGACAAAAATGATTACCAAGCTACTAATCTCACACCAAACCTAATTATTCTAGATGCCAATGCTGCTCTAACATGCTATTGTTCATGAAATATCACATTCAAATTATGTATTAGTTTTAAAGATGCATTCTAATGAAGTAATACTATATGTCATATCCTGTTACATTGTACATCATTCTAAACAAGATTTCAAAAGTGTCTAATATATACAGTGTATATTGATCTGATCGATATCTGAATTACATGTCTAAAGAAAGGTACAAGGGAACGTAGAAGTCGCAATTTACCAGCAGTTGTTGGAATGAGGTGTTGTAAGTCTATAGCAAGTTGTCATTTCGTTACATGATCGTCACCATTTCCCTACTGGTAATGCACCGTCTGTAGTCCGACGACGTAGACTCGCCCTGACAGGGCATGTTGTTCGTAGTAACGAACCAGCTGGTAGACTAAAATACAGTGGCTTCCCACTGGGAGACGTATAGTGGGACGGCCTTATACTACACTTTTGTCCATGTTAGAGAGAGACACTGGTCTCACAGGGCCTGCACTAGTGTCTGCTATGAGGGATAGGACATACTGGAGTAACTTTATCAAGTGTACCTCACCGGATTAGATAATCCGGAGGCATGATGATGATGTTGATGATGATGAATGCACCGTATCGGGTGGGTAATAAGCCACCTCATAGTGAACGGGGTGTGTACTGAAGGTCAGAGGTCAAGAACCCTAAGGCAAAGCAATATCCCGTGACCAACACGTCCAGAGGAAGGGAGATTATGATTGCATGTTTAGGGCCTTAGACCACTGTGCATCAAACCGCATGTAAAATATATAGAGATTTATAATAAATACATATATGATATATAAATATGTATATATGATATTGTTTGGCAGTGTATTGTATTGTACTTTTTAATGACTATTGTATGTTATTGTAAGAATTTGTATTTCATGTCAACAATTGTTCGACATTGTAATTTGTATTGTTCTGTATTTATATTGTTGTGTTTGGGAGGGCAACTTGTAAAGGTGTCAATACACCTATTTTGTCCTCCCTTCCACTTGTATGTTTGTACTTGTGATGAATTTTAATAAACAAATGAACAAATAGAGGTACCTTACTGCAAGACAGCATGAAATGGATGGATAAAATAGATGTGTCGTCAAGGCTACGACATAAAATGGTTTAAGTTGCGTCAACTTGTATGGTTCTAAGTGTACCAATCGTTGTAACCGTGATGCATTTTGAAAATAAATCGACATGTTAGAAACGTACAGTGCAAGGGTTATGATTTTAAATTTTTAATGGATGTTAATCTGCGATGGTAAAATCGTCGTAAAAAATTAAGTCCATGCAGCGTTACACAGTCCCATGTCCCATACAAACCTTTGTTACCATTTCGCAAATTTGTATATGTTTGAATGTAAGAATGTTACCAACTCTAAGAAAAAGGACACAAGAACAAAACTAACCGACAGGCTATTTCAAAAGTGTAAGTGGCACTAGAAACTTTTAGTTTTAAAAGTCATTCCATTTACTCTTGAGCAAGTTTGAGTAAAAGATTAGGATAGAAACCATATAAATGATCATTCACCCTACAGCAATCAAGTTACAACAAATACCAAGAATGAATTAAACAAGAATCAGTAACATAGTTACTGATCTTACAACAATTCAATAGTTTGTCAAAATGGTTACTTTCTTTTTAAACACTTCAATCAGGACTAACTGTCCGTCTGGACCAAGGGCAATGCTCAGAGGCTCGACATCAATAGCGATGTGCTGGATAAAATCCCCGCGGCTTGTGAACAGCTCATATATCGTTTGCCTCAATAGGTCAGTAATATAAATATTAAATAGTCTTCTGTTGTTTTTAATGGTAACTGATTATAATATGTATATAGCACTGAAAGCAGGTCAATTGTATGCACAAATATGAATTTCGCCCAGACGCATCAAGCATGGTGTTATTGTCTGCAATGTAAAATTGGATATAGATTATTTTTGCGAATTGCTAATACTACATTTATTCAACAAAAGAGACGTATTTAGATGGACCGAAAACGAGTTATGATCTAGCCATTGTATCTTGAAATCAGTCTGACCCGCCATCTTAACATCTACGACAAGTACAACTTAACATCTCACTTTGTTTTGTAGAAATCTGGCCTTTCTGAGCAAAATTTGGCAGAAATATTTTAAAAATAGTTCCAAAAATATATCGTGGGTGCACAATTACAAAATCCTTTTTCTGGTCTGCTAGAGAGTACAGTTCGGGTGCGGCATGTATGGATATATTTTGATACCCACAACACAAGAACAGGTGTTTGACAAATTGGTGAGGGGCATTCTTTTCCCCTGACGTGCCACATTAGCTGCAGCCTGGTCCAAGCTTAGTCACCGTCAACAGAGCCCGTTCTACTGTCTAACCATGAAGACCCTGCATTATTGACAATCTTGCACCGTGGAAAGATTGTTTGCTGTCAACAGGGCCAAGCTGAGGGTTATGTGTCAACACGTCAGCATGATGTGGACTATGTGAGAATTCTGGGGGGGGGGGGACAAACTTTGACCACATTTTCTAAACTCTCAGTTTAGTACATATTAGGCACATGAAATGCTTTGTAGCTAGACCGTTCACCAGTTAGAAGCAGGTTAATGGAGCCAACACACGGCTTTAGAATAATACTCAACGAAGGTACCGACCTGTCCAAGGTGTTGAAAGCTAGTCTCACACCTCAACATACTAAATGTTAATCGTCCTACGTATACATACTCTCCTCCGTACAATGGTTTTCTATGTAAGTGTACGGAGGTCTGGTATTCAGTTTGTCTGTGTGTTTGCTTGTGCCTCCTTAGTTATTTTCTGATGCTAGGCACGTCCGACTTAAAGGTCCCACAAATACTGCCTTAAAGGAATCACTGGAAATAATGCAATGACTAGAATCATCGAGAAATTTACAAAAATATTTCACGAAGATATGATATCGTCGATTTCTTGTTATCTGATTTCCTCAACGAAAACAACAACAAGTGAACCACAGGTGTTTGATGATGTGAGACATACGATTCACAAAGTCTGGCCTAAAACACTGCCAACACCACCTGTCCTGCTGAATCCCAGTGAAAGGCACGCACATGCTAAATAATAAACAGCGGGACGAGGAACAAAATAACTTGTAAACATTCATGCAGAACGCGCGGCAAACCCTGACTTACTTTGGAAATGAATTTAGCTTAAATGTAAAAGTCGGACATTTCTGATTTTTTATGTGGCAGTGGGTCACACCTAGGCTGTATAAAACGTTGATTTTAAGGTTACCAGGTGTAATGGTGTATATTTTGCCGGTAGTCGCTGGGGCGTAAACATGCCCCTGGTGGGTTAACATTGAGATGAACCGACTGAAGATAAACAATCTGACATTTCCCGTGACGACACAGGGAAGTAGCTTCGAGAAAAAGTCGTTTCCTCGGCACCTGAATAGCGACAGGGAAGCTTAGCGCTCGGGATCGCTCAAATGTACTATTCCTCGACATATTTGCACGTAACGACGTGAATTGGGCACCAAAAGTAGCATGAAGACCGCCCGGAAAGTCCCGGGGTGCGATAAGCGCTACGGGCTGGCGGTTGTGTTTCTTCTGGTCTGCCTTACACCAACTGTAACAGGTGAGTGTTTTTTTGTTGTTGTGGTTTCCTCTTTGATCGCTCAGTGTATAGGCGCCCAAACGTATCGCATAAAATCCTTGCCTGTTCAAATACATTGCCACCCCAGTCTACCGAGTTAGTTGACATGCCTAACTAAACGTATCCTAACATTACTGGATACCATACATATATAAATTCGACATAGGTGGCCTCTCTCCTCCCCCCGTCTCTTTTTGCTCGGTGTTGCATTGTTGGGTGAACGTACTGTAATTTTTTTTTCCAATAGTGAGTATAATTTTCCATAGCCAAGCACACAGTATTACTTTGACAGAGCTGCAGGCATTCTAACCTTTTAGCTTTACAAGACTTCCCTGGAGGGGAAAATGCAAAGATTACTACATTTGATGTACAGTGTAATGGCGTGTAAGAATATTAACTTATCAGAAAAATTAGGACACCATTTTTTACTGTAGATCTATATTTATAATAGCATTTTCTCTCCTTCTTTTAAAAACGTGGATACTGAACTACCAACTTTGCTCTTTACATGATCGATTGCGCACGACAGAAAAGATCTGGATATCTCTTGCTTCAACATTTTCTCATTCCTTGTTTCATTGAACTTCCTTGATCAGTGATTTTCGTTCATGTTTCATACAAAATACAGTCTATATACTGCAAAGCATTTCTCATTTGCAACATGGAAATAGTCACAAAAATTGCAAATCCTATGTTTTAGAGGGTTGTGGTTATGCTTGGTATGTGTAAAATAAATACTAAAGCTCTGGCTCTTCGGCGTTCAAAATGCGAAATGTTTTGATATATTTTTCTGCCGCATGCCATAAATGTCTTTGAATACGTTGCTATGTCCTTGATTTGCTTTCTTTTCTGCCCTTTGCTTATATCTCTGAGTTATAAATATATCTTTTGATATTTGGTTTGTTCTTCAAAATGGAAGGGGGGGTCAAGGTAATCATTTCTAAATTGCACCATTGTTAGTATTACGTGAATATTTTCCTAGCTCAGTTTTTTTTTACCTGCGCGTATATGCGCCTATGTGTTAAAACTATAAAGTATAACAGAAAACTGCCAAATCTATTCAGAAGGAGGAAAAAAATAGTGCCAGATCAGTTAAGTTGACACTTTTTATGTATCGTTAGGTGTAGTGGACGTCACCATCGTCAGTAAGTACCAGTTCTTTGATGCGTCCGATCACACCCGGCTGTACTGTTACTACACGGGGAGTTACAGCAACCAGAACGGGTACCAGTTCGGTGTAGAGGTTGACACTGGCTCAGGAACAACATTTACACCACAGAGATCCACCAGCTTGGTGACAGGAGAATGGTGGAGAACGAGGATCTTGGATACCGCTGGTGACTTCCGGGTCGGAGCATTCTCCTGTCAAGTAAGCAACGGAAGTCAAACAGAGAAGGCCATTACATTCAAAATGAAATCACGGGGTGAGTGTTTTGCTGAATATATCTGCTTATGCCTTATCTACTTAAAATTAACTTTAATTAAATTCCTTGTTGTACACATGTATATCAATGATTATCATGTAGCCAGTTGACGTTGACCAATCAGAAGTCACCATTTTATATTGATTGGAACACCATTGGTATTTAAATCCTTTAAACACGACGACCAATTGGCGTCGAAAGGACCGCATTCTGTTAGAAAGACGTCTGATGATCGAACAAGGTGGAACATGATTCAGGTTAGAGAATATATTACGACACTGTGCGCTCACTCGACGATTCAATCAGTGGTTATAGGAATTATCAGGCACATAACACCATATACATAGAGGAACAAGAAGGTAAAATTTTAACGCCTAATTACAATTTACATGTACAAATTCTTTTTAGCCGATGTCTGGCCTGTGGCCTTCACAGTAACCGCCAGCCTAGGAGACCCCGTGACCCTACAGATGGTACAGAAGTCCAGTAGAACCGGAACGCTACTGTGGAGGAAGGACGGGGTCAGGGGGACTGTCCTAACAGGGCAGAACGGACTTAACCTGACCATTGCCAGCGTCCAGCCTTCAGATGAGGGGATCTATGAGTGCTACTATCAGGGGTATACTGATAGAAGACAGGGCATCATGAGGCTCATTGTCAGAGGTAATGCACATGTAACATGTTTTATTATTTGCATGTTCACATGAGTTCAAGATCAAATGAATGGGTAAACTAATTATCAAATGCCAGAACGTTTAAAAGCGTTTCCACGTGTAATTTACCAACTTTTTAAACAGTTGAAGAGATGTTAAGATAAGAAATCTTACTACATGTAGTAACTACTTTGACTAATATTTTAGCTACACTGGGGAGCTTTCGAGACGAATTCTGTCTCTTCTTCAACCCAGTAAATCTCAACTAATATTTGCCAATAATATTATATCGTAGCTTTATACTATATACTTGTCGGTCTCAGAAGATTATTACTTAAAACGCAACAATGGATGGTTCAATTCTTTTAAAAATCAAATTTTAATGTCCACAATTACTTTAATATAATATAATAGTTGTTCTTTTTGGCCCTCACTCAGGCTGTGCTAAGAACAAGTGGGGTCCTCCCTCCTGTACCGGTGACTGTCCAATGTGCTACAACGGCGGTGTGTGTGACGACAACACGGGGGAATGTGTCTGTCCTCCGGGGTTCCATGGACAAAACTGCGAAAGCGGTAGGTAGTTGCTCAAACTGGCTCAAGAAGTTTTTGAAGAATGGCCTCAAAAGGTATTTGATGTTGAGATTTTGACATTAGCTCATCTTTTGATGATATCAAATGGCGATAAGAAATACATACACCAGAATGTTTTTGGAACAATGCTATTTCACATCCTTTAACATCCTTTAACGAATTCTATTTTACATCCTTTTAATGATGATGAAGCATGTACGAATAACAAGATCGGTACAAGCTGCACGAGAGAGTGTGACGGTGGAGACTGTACCGGTCAGCTGCTGTGTGTGATGGACCCGTACGGCTGTTCCTGCGCTCCTGGACTCATGGGCATAGAGTGTAATACTGGTGAGACTAGACAGTAGCTCATTTAGTTGTGTGATGATTGATATCTAATAGGCATGTTTGGGTGTCCGACAAACTTTATAGTTTTTTTAGATGATCAGCTTTTTTATTGATGCGTCTGCGAATGAAGTTGGACCTATTATAAGAATGATCTTGCTGCTATATTCTTTTTTTTCTTGTACTTAGTAATACGCACTTAGGAACACTGCACGTTATTAATGGAAGCCTGATCCTCATCTTTAGAGTGTCCAGAGGGCCTGTACGGAGCTGGCTGCACCCAATCCTGTAACTGTGCAGCCGGACCAGCAGCCTGTAACAAGAGGACTGGATTCTGTACTGGGGGATGTCCGGTATTATGGACTGGGGACTCCTGTCAGATCCGTACAGGTACTGATGAAATTTACAGTGACGCTGTTAGGGTATAAGATACATAATGTACATAATTAACTTGGTTGAATAAATGTTTGGAGTTTCATTTTGTAAAGACGAGTCTGGCTACTACGGTTTTTATATTATCTTTAAATTTTTATGCTCAGCCTGATTTTCGAATGTAATTTTTCTACTTTAGCGACTGTATCATACAAGGATCTGTTTACCAAGGAAGAAGGACAGTTTTTCGGTGATTCGTCTAACCTCATAACAGCGTATGACAACATAGACGCAGAAGAGTGTGCCCGCCGCTGTCTGCAAGGTAACGACAGCTATGATGGCGTCAATCCGACCTGTCTGTCCTTCAACCATCGCCCTGTCGGATCGCCAGAGGGCGGCAGTGCACGGTGTTGGCTCAGTAGTTCTGACAAGGACACGGCGGCGTCTCCTGGTCCTGAGTGGGACAGTTGGCCTCACCGAAATTACTACCAGAGGAAACGTAACTATATACTTTATGCCTCTGTTCGATAATGGCGTCAATGCCTTATTGTGTTTAACTAATAAAAAAGATGTAAATACAAACAGATAGATGAAAAGTAAAATTCAATGGGCTTCACGTCATCTTCTTTACAGTATTCTAGACCTTCGTAATAATATTTGTAACATTTTCTATCTAAGATATAGCAATTGTCTTTTTTATAAAAAACGTTAATCACTACGTTGAATTAATATTTACCACTTCTTATTCTTGTATTATCATTATCATTATTACCTCCTTCCGGATTTCCTGTGTTCCCGCGGTTAATTTTACATGTTGCCACCTTGAAAAACAGACAAAAAACAAGGTCAAAGATCACAGAAAGATCGAAAAAGAATTGTCTAATTTTCTGTCTTCAATTTCCTGCTATATGAGTAAGTCTCCTCATAGGAGCGAGTGGCAAAATGCATATACAGAATCAGCAAGAAATAATAATTATTCAATAAAACAATTAATGTACAAAAACTCTTATATTTAATGGGGTGGAAGATTGAATTGAATTATTACATTCTTCTTGTTTATAGACATCATGGAGCCCCAAGACTGTGCTGACGTGTTTGCACTCGGGATGCAAGACAGTCATGTGTACACCATCGGCCACCCACAACCATTCCAAGCCTACTGTGACATGGACACTGATGGCGGCGGATGGACGGTCATACAGCGGCGACAGGACGGGTCTGTCCCGTTTGACAAGACTTGGACTGAGTACGAGCAGGGATTCGGTAATCCTAGTGGAGAATACTGGCTGGGATTGGGGAACATCCACAGTCTGACTACACAGAAACAAAACGAACTGTACGTGTACTTGGAAGACTGGGAAACGAACAGCCGGTTTGCGCGGTACAGCACGTTTTCTGTAGGAGATGCCGGCAGCAAGTACACGGCAACGATCGACGGGTACAGCGGGGATAATGCTGGTGATAGTTTGGATCCATCCAACACACGTCACAGCATCAACATCAGACAATTCTCTACAACAGACCAAGATAACGACGGTATCAGTACCGACTGTGCGGGTACATTTGGACAAGGAGGCTGGTGGTACACTCCAAGTTGTGGTTATTCCATGTTGAACGGACAGTATCTGACAGGCTGCTCGGTACCTGCTCCGGGTTCCTGCCGCAGTGCAGATGGAATCATCTGGTCTACTTGGTTGGGTTACAGATATTCCTTGAAGAAAACTGTCATGATGATCAGGCCAGCTGATTTTCCTGGTACGTGTTTTAGTCATTACTTATAATTAGACATTGTGTATTCTCTTTGATATATGGAAAAGTAAAATTAAAATAAGTAAGAAATGCAACTGATTATCATTATCATGACGTTATGTTCATTGTGTTAAAACGTTTACTATATGTCGTACTACATTTCTTCATAGTGTCATCATTCAGACCTTGTGAGAATGGTAGAAACCTGACATCTGGACCGGAGAATTCCGGACTGTTCATCTGTGCATGTCCTTCAGGGTGGAATGGCACGTTTTGTGATCAGGGTAATTAAAATGCAATATTTTTACAAACGTTGTGCGAACACACAAATACACACTCACACA